TAGCTTATTTTACATCAATATATGTGTGTGATATAAATCTTAAAAGATTAATAACATTTTTAAAATTAGATAGATGGAAAAAATAGAAAGTATTAATACAATTTAGAGAAACTTTTCCTCTAGTACAAGTATATATTTTAAAAAGAAAATTATGTTAATATACGCCTAGTATTTTTAGATTTTTTTTTTAAATCATAGACCTTAACTCTCAACAACAAAAAAAATCAATTGAATACTGGTAGAGTACAAATCAATATAAATTATATTCATTAATAGAGCTGTTTTTAATCTATCTATCTATCTATACACACGCAACTATTGATCTATCTTTTGTGAAATATGATACATGTATTTTAATACTAAGTGCTTAAAACATGCCTCATAAACAGTGATAAGTTTGTAAATGTTAGTGTTTATTAAGATAAAATAGTAGTAAAGATGATAAGCTTTGAAATATTGACCCTTTATGTAACTGATTAACATTTTATGAAAATTTCACTTTACAGTAATTTCACATACAGTAACTATTTCAACATTATCTGTTATTGAAAAATAACATCTTTTTAAAAAATACTGAATACACTCTATTAATAATTAAATTATAAAGGTAAACATAGAAATAAATATGACATTGGATAGTAATAATAAGTTTGATTAAAGTATACTTAACTTTATTGAGTTAGGTGATAGTGAAAATGACTGAAGCAGCTTTTCAAGCAACTGAATAATTCACTCATTAATGACAGAGGCACCATCTTCCAAATACATTTGACTTGTACAACACCAAGTGTTTAATGGGTTCTTCTTATTGCCCTGGGGAATATATTATTTCCCAATTTAATTTCTAATTGAACCAAGCAATTTTGCCTGCCATTATAGAAGATACTATAATTATTAAAAAATGTATACTTAGAAATTTCATTAACAATTCTTTTTGAATATGTATATTTTTAAAGTCATATAAACATTTAAAAATATTGTCTTCCATCCATGCCCACGAAATGACCTTTAATTTAGATCTCAAATAACTCATTGCCCTTCAGCTAGAACCAACTCATAGCTGCCTCTTCAGCTGATTTTCAGAGGTTGTCAAACACTTGAGATGAGATTGTACATCATTTTCCCCGATAAAGTAGTTGGTGAATTTGAACTATTTCCTTTCAGTCGGTAGCACGACTCATTGCTCACTAGGCCATTAGAACTCCCTCCACTTATATGATGTTGTTATTATATGCTGTGAAATCAACCACAGTTCAGAGGGACCCTGTGGATTTATGTTTATCTTTTCATTTTCTTTCCTAATGAGCTGTGTTGTTTTTGTTTGCGTAGGCTTTTTCACCTGAGGGTTTAGATTTGTTTTCCTTTACTTTTTTCAATGACTTCAGCACAGCCTTATCTTTCACTCTATTACTGTTGTTTCTTTTTTGTCTATAATGATTTGAATAACAATTTAAAGAATAAATAGATTCTCTATTAATAAATAAATAAATATTTCATATACTGTTAATTACAATACTCAGAATGCAATGCAACTATTTGTACTTGCTCAGTTTGACTCTATCTCTTCTGGGCTTTCCCCTTGGGCAAGTGTTCTCTTTTGACCTTATGTGTTGGTTTCATATTTCATATTTCATAATTACTACATAATTACTTAGCAGTCCATGATACCCTCAGTACTCTTTTCCAACACTAAAGCTGAAAGGCATCAATTCTCCTTCAATCTTCCCTACTCATTGTCCAACTCTCTGATGCATAGCAAGTGATTGCAAAGACCATGGCCTGTATCAGATGCACCTTAGTCTCCAAAGAGACACAATTGCTCTTCAGTACTTTAGAGAGGTCCCTAACAGCAGAATTTCCCATTACAATACATCTTTTAATTTCCTGGTTGCTGGTGCCAAGAGTGTTGTTTTTGGAGCCAAGCAGACTAAAGCTGTGAACAATCTCAATCTCTTCACCATCAATCCTGTTCCTGCCAATTGGTCCAGGGTTAAGAAAACAGATTCATAGTGGAGAGGGTTAAACCAGCTCCTTGGAGGCAAGGATCCTGAGGCTCCGTCTAACATACTTTGGACATGTTATAAGGAGAGACCGGTCCTTGGAGAAGGACATCATGCTTGGGAGGGTGGAGGGACAGTGCAGGAGGGGAAGGCCCTCTTTGAGGTGGATTGATTCAGTGACTCGGGTAATCAGAATGGGTGTGTTGGAGACAGTGCGATTGGCACAGGACAGAGCAGAGTTTAGGGCTGTTGTACATAGGGTCGCTATGAGTCACAAGAGACTCGATAGCACATAACAACAATAACAACAACCACCACCACATAATTTTATGAAATATTAAATGAAAGATATGAACATTGACATAAGAGGTATTAGTGAGATAAGACGGACTAGTTTTGGACACTTTATATCAGATAATGATATGGTATACTATGTTGTTGTTGTTGTTGTTGATTGCCATCAAGTCATGCACAACTCACAGCAACTCCATCAACAAAAGACCTGAAGCCTTTCTATAACTATCATTTCTCTAAGTTCATAGTTTCCAGAGGCATATGATTTAGGAAGTGGATGCCACTGCTGCTTCCCAACCTGTCTTAAAACCGGGATCTTCACCAAACACTGTCCACCATGGGCAGCCATTATGGCATTTGAGAGGCCAATGGTACAAGTTTCAGCACCATAGCAAAACCAGACTACCTCAGTACAGCAAATTGACAGAAAAGTGCTGTGTGACTTAGAAGAACGCTCCTCCAAATAGCAAAGTTTTAAAATATAAACCCTCAGACCTGATTTATTAAATATAAGGGCCCCCAGGAGGTTTCGTTGACTCTAAACAAGTTGTTGTTGTTGTTGTTGTTGTTAAGTGCTGTAGAGTCACTTGTGACTCATAGTGATCCTATGTGCAAGAGCCCTAAATCCTGCTCTGTCCTGTGTCAACCTCACTGTCTTCAACACACTTACTCCCACCACCCCAATCACTGAATTGATCTATCTCATCAAGGGTCTTCCTCTCCTATGCTATCACTCCACTCTCCCAAACATGATATCTCTCTCCAAGGACTGGTCCCTGCTTCCAACATGCCCAAAATATGTCAGGTGAAGCTTCAGAATCCTTGCCTCCAAGGAGCAGCCTGGCTTCACCCTCTCCAGGACAAACCTGTTTGTTCTCCTAGCAGTCCATGGTGTATTCAACACTCTTCTCCAGCACCATAGCTCAAAGACATCAATTCTCTTTCTATCATCCCTAGTCATTCTAAACAAGAGGCAATAATAATAGCAATAATTAATAATAATAAAACAACAAAAAACTTCCAACCAAACATTCTACAATGACCCTCAACCAAAATAAGAGAGCTCATCTTACAAAGTCCAGTTGCTACACCCAGTTTTCAAAATGGAGACAAAGGCTTAGCCTTAAATGCAAGTATCCTCCTGGAAGTCTTGCTGACTTGAAACAAGAGGCTTAAACAATGAAACTATCAACCTAGATCCTCAACCAAAACGAGAGTGTCATCATACAGGGTCCAGCCAATGGAAGCCCAAAATGGAAGACAAGAGCTTGGCAATATATGTTGTTATTGTTGTGTTGTTGTTGTTGTTAAGTACTGGCAATGCAAAGCAGAAGATGAAAGGTGTTATTTTCACAGGAAAATATC